ACATGGACACAGGTAAAATCCCAGAAATAGCTGTAACTTAGGAAATAGAAGGAAGGGAAGAAGTAAAGAAAATTATAATCACCGATGAAATGATACTGATTAAATTATTGGAGCTGCGTGCTGACAAGTCCCTGGGTCCTGATAATTCATTCCAGACTTTTACTTTTTCCAAAAAGTCACTAGTGAAATGATTGATATTTTATCCTAATTTTTCAAGATTCTGTGGATTGGGGAGGTATCCATTCAAATGGAAGATACTGAATGAAACCCTTTTATTCAAAAATAGTAGGAGTCAGAAAGCAGGAAATAACATGCCAGTTACTTTAACATCTGTTATAGGTGAAGCGTTAAAAGCTTTTTTTTAATAATAGCTTCTTCGGTTTTTTATCTCCGTTCTCCAACATCTGCAGTACTGAGTCAGCTTCTCTCCTGTTCTCTGCCCTGACTCCAGTGTTTGTCACTCTTGTGTCTTGGGTACCAAACTGGGCAAACTCCTAAATACACGACTCTGCTATGTATTAGATGGACTTTGCATGATTTCCTCTGCTTTATGTTCTGTTGGTTTATTAACATATTGTCTGCTTTCTGTCTGCTCTATCTCAAGTATTACATGTTTGTGTCCCCACCTCAGTGTCAGAAGTCTTAAGTTCAAGTCCCATCTAAGCCAGATATGTATTATGATATATCAGAGTAGGTTGTTTGGGGCCCTGTTGTGTCCCTACCACTGGGTTGGGAGACCCAAGTTCAAATCCCACCTGCTCCAAGATGTGTGTAATGATATTTCTGAAGATGTTGATTATAAAAATAGCTTAAATAAAACAAAAAAGCTGTGTCGATAATGATAAATATCAGTAATAGTCATAGAATCATAGAATCCCTACAATCCAAAAAGAGGCTTTTCAGCCCATCAAATCTGCACCGATCTACAGAGCATCCTGCCAAGACTCACCCCACCATTATAACTCTGCATGGCGTTTTTAATATGGCTAACCCACTAACCTGTACATCCCTGGACATTATATGGGGCAATTTTTTTTTTTCTAAAGCATGGCCAATCCACCTAACCCGCACATCTTTGAACAGTGCGAGGAAACCGGAACACCCCATGAAAACCCATGCAAACTGGGGGAGAACGAGCAAACTCCACACAGTCACCCAAGGCTGGAATCAAACCTGGTTTCCTGGCACTGAGGCAGCACTGCTAACCACATTGCCACCTTAGTGTCCCTTTCTTTGAGCCAGGAGGCCTGGGTTCAAACCCCACCTGTTCTGGAGGTGTGTAGTTACATCCTTGAACAGAGTCATTTAGAAAATGGGTCAATAATATTAAAAAATATTACAAGTAAATCTTTAATTTGGGCTGTTGTGATACAGTAGTAATATCTCTGCCTCTGAGATAGGAGGCCCAGATTCAAGGCCCACCTGTTCCAAAGTTGTGTAATAACTTCTCTGAACAAGTTCCTTTAGAAAATAGTAACACTCAAAAACAAAAAAATTATAATTAGAGCTTGTGTGGTCCAGTGACAGTATCCATGCCTTTGAGCCAGGAGACCTGGGTTCAAGTCCCACTTGCTCCAGAGGTGTTTAATAACATCTCTGAACAGGTTGCTCTTTAAAAAGAAAAAATAAACAATCTGTAATTTTGTTGATAGGTTTCAGTTTGCAGAATTAGTGAATGGTGAGCCCTTGACATTGACATTTTGGTGGGATTGCACTTCAGATGCAACTGGACTTTTTTTAACCTAATAGCTGGTGCTGTCTTTCATTTATGCTTGGAAATAGTCCTATTATTTTTATCAGCACTGAAATATTTTTGCCCTACACGTTTGTAGAGCCCAAAGTCACCTTTCTTTCATAATTTAAGAAGGCTTATTAGTTGACTTGTCTTATCAACAGACTTAAGTTGAACCAGTGACCAAGCTTTAGATAGCAAAATGGTGGCTCACTGCATCTGGATGCTGCCATGCTCTAGAGAGGAAGCTGTGTGCAGGATAAAGAGCCTTACACCTCTATTGCTGTTTCCTGGTGCTGTGTTTATCAGGTTGCAATTTGATAGCATGGGATCATATGGCAAGATAGAAGGAAATCATTTGGACCATGGGATCTGTGTTGGTTCTTTCAAAGAGCAACCATTGAATTCCAGCTCTTTCTTTTTGTCTCCAAGTACTTATCTAATTACTTTTTGAAGGCAGCATGCCAAACTAAATTACCATGCCATCATGTGCTGCATTCCAAATTCCAACCAGTTATTCTGTTTTCTTTTTAAATAAATCAGGTTGCCTCTGATTGTCGGTGGAGCAATTTCACCAGATATTGTAATCCAGGCCTAACTGTGGCAAATTCTTTGACAAGTTTGTCTTAGACCACGTGTTATGTAGTAACAACCGATAGCCTGTCTGCCCTCCGCCTGACTGCTTTGAGATGCTCCAATCACATTTGAAATATGTGGAAAGAAAATGAAAGAGCACCTTCCTCGCCAGTTCATCACTTTGCTTTCATATCTATAGGTCTCCAGATGAATTTGACAATGATGGGGTTAGAATCAAGAAGCTAGCTATTTTGATTTTAGCTTCAGACAAAAACAAAGGATATCATGATATAGATGTTGGAACCTCAAACAGTACGAGCAGTTAATAATGGGCAGTACTGCCTACTTGCAATGCCAGTGTTTTTGTATACATGTGCCTAGCATATAATTTCCCTCCAATAAGTTACACTGCCATGGTATGTAGATGGTCCCTATCATTCAAAGTGTGTAAACACTATCAAATAGGCAATCTATCCTTTCAGCTTGCCAATGCTTCATTCTCCACCCACCCAACGTCTGAGACAGGTCTATACAAACTGACTATAACAATTCCTGTGTGTTATTTGATTGTGGTATTGCTACTTTGTTCTCATGTTTTCTATTCATCTGATGAGAACAGTAGCCCACTTTGCACTCTGGTATTGTTGACATAAAAATAGTGACAGTGTAAAAATATTGGAAATTGCTGTCCTCCAGAGTGGTTAACATTTAAACTACTTGTACATGGTGTGGAGAGAAACAGAATTGAGGAACTTCTGTTTTATTGGACAAAATTTATGTCAGTGATATTAAGTCCCAGTAGGGGTCAGTACTCTTGCAGCATCCTTGTTCCACTATAAACGTGGCTTAGTTTGCACTTGTACTTAACCTTTTTTTCAGGATGAATTAAATTCCCTTATTTGTAAATCACATTTGCTACCAACTGATGGGTTTTACTTTTCCTCAGTGTAAATTACAGCAATTGCAAGTTATGTTTGATTGTCTTAAAATGTATACTTTGTTGAGTTACTGGGTCAGCAAATCCACACAGTACTGTTGTTTTCCTGCAATTGGTAAATATTCAGTGACATTGTGAGATCAAAGAGTGTTTGAAGTGCTTTTTTTTCAGATGTGATTGAAGAGTTGAAAGGAAACGTAATATTTCAAGTTCATTTTTAAGTAGATTTTTATTTAAATTGTTTTTTTTTCTGAAGAGTTTGTTCACAAATCCTGCTTTTTTGTTGTTGGTTTAAGGAAGTGTGGAGGTGCTATACCAATCGAGGCAGAGAGACAGGCAGTTCAAATCACACCCTGTGTTTATGACTGTGGGAGGATTTCAGTAGCAGAGACATTGATTTGTGTCTATTATTGACAGATATTTGATCAAAACTTGTAACATTTTGCAATAGTAACATATAGAGGTTTCACTCTTTTAATCCAGTAGTGGTAGTCTCCGGGGTCACACAACAGTGTTAACCTTATGAATGCTCTGTATGCTGTACTGTTTCTAGCCAAAACATCTGAAACAATCGGGGTATTGGAAGCAGTAATATGGTCAACTAATAGGCCAGGTTAAAACCTTATTGTATGTGGTTTTATTTTGCATATTTTCTTCACTTCTTTTCCAAAGATGTTCATTTGTCCTAGAGACTGTGTTTAACTTTGGACCATTATAACCAATTCCAGCCTTGTCATCAGTGTTGCCACATGTTTACTTCGCAGCAAGAGAGTTGTAACTTGGTCTCCCTTTTTAGCTCAAATGTGTAGCGGTCAATTACACCCCAATTGAAATAGCCTAATTCAACAGCTGAAAGATTGAATCTGTGATTTATTAATCTGCAGAAACTGGTTATAGTATATGTGTTGTGATTATTTACTGAATTCTTTTTTTGAAAAGTAATTGAAGAAAATATTGCATTAGCTCCGTCTTAATTTCTCGATTGGCTGAACACAAAAAATGGCTGGAAATCACAGCGGGTCAGACAGCATCCATTGAGAGAGAGCAAGTTAACATTTGAAGTCTAGATATTCTTCATCAGGGCTCTGCAATAACTTGCTCCTTAATTTCTGGTTTAAAAATACTTTAGGCAATCCAGTGCAATATCTGGGTTATTCGAGATAGTTGCTCATCTTTCTCTTCATTGAATGTTTGGATAGTTATTAAGCAAATTCAAGTCAATCTGAAGAAATATTTTAATTTATTAGTAGAGGAATTATCGACATTGGCAACTCTGTCGTTGGATAGACTGTTGTGGCTCATGTCTTTGTTGTTCCATGTTCCAAACTGGTTGGTGGCTGTACAACTACAGACTTTAAAAGTGTTCCGCAGTGATCTAAACAGGATTTCAGAATGTCATTGAATTTGAAAAATTTAGCTTTACTTTTTGACCATGACAAAATGACAATTGTTAGGTGTGGAAAAGCATCCATATATCAAAGTTGAAGTTGTTTCTGGTTTTTAATTTGGTGATGCTGCATCTATCTTTGGAGTAGAAGAGAAATTTAAAAATCCTCATTCTTCTTTTGACTTGCAAAATCTTTTAAGATTTGTTTTTGTCCTGCATTCTCTATTTTGTAAGTCGCCAACATTAGTGCATTGCTCCCATACAAGATTCTGTTCTAAAATTAAAATTGACCATCGATTTAGGATCATGCACTTTTAAGGTTAAACAAAATGACATCTTGTCATTTTTTTTTGCATTACAATCTGCAGGTATTGTTTCACTGGCTTGACGGCTCTGCAAGTACGCTCCAAATTGTTATATGAATAGAAAGAATCAATTTCAAGCATCATGAGGGTAAGTTTGGATGTTGAAAATGTTTGTTTCATTGATCTCATCACAGTTATAAATTCGGAATCTTGTGAACATGGAGGGCTCCTCGTGCAGTCTCGGTGAGTTATTTTCACTCTTAGCTGAACTGGTTTATATTTACAAGGTGCCTTTGTTTGACCCCCGCCCCCCCACATTCCCAGAATTTTATAAAATGCTGCTTTTGAGTGAATGACAGAAAATTTTTTATCTACCTTGAATATGCTGCAGTTAATTATTTAGCTCAATTTCGCTTTAGGTATGTTGTGTAATATTAACCCAAAATTTGAGGGTGACAGTTTGGGAGAAAATTTTACCAACTTGCTGAAATGGAAACCCATGTGATCAAGTGCAATGCTGATTTTTTGTTATACCCAATATTGTTGACTTCAGTCAGGAATGAAACCAACCTTGCACCCAGCCCTGCCTGTTGTCCTGAACAGATAGCTATGTTCCCATTGGGCAGTGTGCAAAATCAGCATACCATCTAGCAATTAAGGTAAAATTTGCAAGTTATGGCCCTTCAAATTCAATCTTATGCTTTAATGTGTAAAGCATTAAGTCAGCGATGTCATGATTTTGATGTTAGATTTTCAGCAATCTCCAGCTATGCATACTGTATTGCAATTGACTGTGGACAGGAATTTTAAGGTTTTGTTTCTGGTTGAGATGCTGCATGTATGTAATTTCTTCCTTATAAATATTGCTCTTGTGTAGTTAAAATGCAGTGTCAAACTCTGCTCTCTCTCATCTTGAACTGTTTGGAGTCTGATTAAATCCCAATTTGAAATTTTAAGTTAGGGTGCTTAACAGTTTTGGTCACCTGTACCATTTGTTCCTGGTAGTTAATTTGCAGTTTTGTCCAACAAGTCATTGCTTTTCAAAAAAACCTGTGAAAAATTACTTTTGAGATGTTTTGATGAAGAAGCTGTTAAACGCAAGTATTGTCCTGTGAAGTTGCTTTTGTTTCAGTTTAGTTTGCAGACCATAAGCATGTAATTTCTCTAAGTTTTAGTGCACAGATGTGGGAATTTATTTCTTGTCATGCTGCTACAAGCATCAGCACCACAATCAGGAACTTACAAAACCTTCCTGTCTGCTGCATCGTTTAAGTCACAGCAACTTTTACTAATTCTGTTTTTGATTTCAGATGGACGTGGAAGAAGGAAAGGGAGGGACGGGCCTCCGCCAGTATTATCTGTCAAAAATTGAAGAACTCCAGGTGATTTGCCATGGTAGAAACAAACTCCTGGGAATTTAATGGGAGAAGGAACCCAAAATAAATCACTCATTAAAACCTAGAAGCCATGAAAATAACTAGTCTGCATTTGTATTAACCAACTTTTTGCTTGAAATAATTGAAGTGAAAATGTTAATTTTACAAGAATTTCGTCAGCTCTTTTGCAATTATATTTTTATTAGAGGGATGTTCCTAACTCTGGGATTGGGGCTGTGGTGGCAAAACCCATCAAAATATCCAGCATCAATCTATCAAAAGAACTTTGCCCATCTAGTCACGTAGTTTTAATCACGCAAGTCCAAGGTCAGTTGCCAATTAAATTATGACATAGTCAAATTTACCAGCTGCCTGTCTTATTTTTGTGCAGTCATTGAAAGGTCAATGCTGCAGTGTGCAGTTATTTATACTGAGATTTGGTCAAATATTTTTATGATTCCTTAAGCACTCTACCTTTTCACGATTTCTGTAATGATTAAAACATTTCTTTAATGCAAAATAATGTTCTTTAAGTCAATTGTTTTTTTTTTACCGACACCCAGGTACTCCCCTATAATTTTCATTTGTATTTGTTTGTTTATCATATCCAGTTTGTATGAATTGATACCATCCCAAATGAATAATACTGTGCTTGAATGTCATTGGTTTCTTTCTCTCTTTCTCAAAGCTTATAGTTAATGATAAGAGTCAGAACCTCCGGCGTCTGCAGGCTCAAAGAAATGAACTCAATGCCAAAGGTAAATAAAAATGCTATGGGTAAGATGTTACTGTATAATCTCATTTGAATTGGGATTGTGATGCATTTCTGATCAGTGATACGTAAACTAAAAAGTTTTACTACTGTAAAAGAATTGGAAACTTAATTTTCAGACAGTAAAAGTCTGTTCACTATTTGCCATTAACAGTGCTTCTAGTAGCCATTGTAACAGTGTAAATTGCACCAGGGATACATCTTGTTTTGGTAAATAACAATGAAGCGCAGATAAAACCCATATGGTGTAACTCATTTAAAGACTTCTGTTAAATGAATTTTCACGCCCAACTTCATCCACTCAGCTGTTTCCTTCTCCAATGCAGGCAGTCCTGACAGACCAAAGGGGTGTGTGTGTGTGTGGAGCTAGGAGTATTGGTACAATTGGTTAATTTTAGTTTTTATCTTGGATTTAGTTTTGGTTCAGTAACTTCTATTTTAGCTTCAATACACTAATTCTGAAGTGGATAATCAACAGTAGAATCTGTTATCTGTTCTACAATTATTCAGCAAAGCCATGATTTAAAAGAAAAGTACAAAGAGTAAACTCATTTTGTTTAGGGACTGTCTTGAAAACAATTTTCTCAGGCTCAGGTGATGAGAAATTGAGGGATAACCACGTCCTTTTTTTTTATGGTTTGAATTTGAGATTTATTTAATATATTTTTGTGCAAAGTATTTTTGGGTGGTCTGTGAAATGGTGCCATTCTAAGACCTGACCTTACATAGACTTGCATGAATGTAATTGTAAATGTTTCTTACAGTACGCATGCTACGGGAAGAACTACAGCTGTTACAGGAGCAGGGATCTTATGTAGGAGAGGTGGTGAGAGCAATGGACAAGAAGAAGGTGCTTGTCAAGGTAATTTTGCAGTGTCTTTTGCACGTGTCTATAATAACAGATGTATTGCATATCTGTGCAATAATTAATAGAGAACTTAGCCCGATATGCAAAGACCTGATAATTTGAAGACTACAGAGGCATATTTTTCATAAGTGGAATAAAATTTGTAGCATCTGTGTTCTGTTTCTGAAACTGATTTCAATAATTATGTTTGATTATAAGGGGGTTCTGAGTGACAAATTCCTAATACCTATTGGCCTAGCGTTTTGACAGTTCAAAGTAAGGTTTTAAACTAAAAATTGAAACATAAATATTGCACAGTCATTAAAGTTATGCATTGCGTTGTTCTTTGTCTTAATGCTTTCATTAAAGTTATGAGTTCAAGATCTCAGCCACATCTCAAAGTATGAGCATTGACTTAATATGTTCGTTTAAGCTATGACTCTGAGTTTAATGTAGTTTGTAGAGTTTGAAAGTCAGATCTAACTTGGAAGCAATACTGTCCAGCTCCAATTAGTTGGAAGCATTGAAAAAGTCAAAAGGACAAATTTCAAAGTTTCATTTGGATAAATTTTTTATAAATTTTTCTTACAAACCACAAATTTATTATGAGAATGAAAAGAACAGTATAGTGAAGCACAAATATTGTTGCTGTTTTGTTTACAGAACAAATAAAAATGTATTCAACAGAGGGAAATGAGGGTATGAGACACATTTTATCTTTATTCCACATTCAGTTCATACACCCCCTAAAAAAAGGAAATTGAATTATAACAAATGGTATTTAACAGAGATAAATTGTAATCTCTTGCCTCAGTGTGTGAAATTGTATCTGTTTTGTTTGAATATCTTTCCTTGTACTTTTAATACCCAAACGTTTTGGAATTTTAGTGAATCTGTGCAAGGTCATTTGGGTAGTCATGTCCTATTTTGGTGTTAGTGACCCTCTGACTCCAGAATTAAAATGGGTATAATTCTGGATAGACCTCTCAGAATCTCAGTTGTGCAGCGGTAGCTAAAGGTAGCCTTTGTTGTAGAAATGACAGGCATCAAATTTCACAAATGACTGTTGTAGAACAGCTTTCCTTTCAGGATTTTGTTGTTCTCCTGTCCATTTACCCATTGTAATAGATTGACGTCTGTGTCCCATTCTTGTTGACCACACTGACTACTGTTTCTGCAGCAGTGTCTGAGAGAACAGACTTCGTGTAACAGTTTAAGTAGATCAATTTCCTGTACTCATGTATTTTCTTCAAACACTGTGTGGTGACGCTGAAGTGTGCTAGTTAGTGGACCGTAATGTTCTTGGCACTGCTGCAGAAGATGAGATTCCACACTAAATCCTAAATGCCTGAATGGTTGGTTATGGTAGTGGATTACAGGACGAGTTGCTTAATCAAATATTTAAAATTTCCGATATTGGAAATAAGGTAGGAGTTCATTGTGGAAATTTGTATTTCTGCTGATTAATAACTCTTTCTCAGTTTGCCTCAAATAATGTAATATCTATAATCTTCCAAGTTCCTCTCTTTCTGGTTTCTGCTTTCAGCATGTAGGGCATGTGTTTAAATTTGAATTATTTAATGATTGTCTATATTAATAATTGGGTTTAAATAGCATCCCAGCTGTAAGTGGCACAGCTTAGAGCTGTAATGTATGGCCTCGTGCAGTGTAAGGCAACTAGTTTTTATTTGAAACATTTTATTATCATTTTGAGTTAACTTGCATTTCCATAGTATCTTTTAATGTAAGTATGCTCAGAAGGAAATGGAGTTGAAACAGGCCATTACGCATCAAAAGAAGACTGATAGATAACCATCATTGTTAAAGAGGTAAATTTTTAGTAGAGATATTTGAAGTGACTGCCAACCAGAGAGCTGTAAGGAAGTATCCAAAATGGGGTAAGATGACGATGAAAAATTTAGAGTGGATATAAGCAAAGTCTGTAAGATTGAAAGGCATAGACTGGCATAAAGGGCTTGAAGAGATTGTAGAAAGCAGAGGAACTAGAGTGTGGAAGGAAATGCAGGCCAGTTTCTTGA